GTTTGAAACAAAATGACCAAAATTAGTTGCTGAGGTCCTTTCCGAACAACCCACCTCTGACGTTGACTCCTACTGGAAAGTATCGTCATCAATCCTGCAAGGTACTGGGAGCGTTATTTGAGGAGTGGAGCAATCGACTAGATTTAAAAACGGGATGTAAGCCAAAACTTCCTCTAAGCTTGCGCACGCAGTTCTCCTGATGACTCGACGAAGTGTTAGACATCAGCATCTGCGCGGACCAGGAAGCTTTGTGAAAGCTGTGGAAACGGAAGAAGTGAGATACTGTGGGACTGTGTAGAAAGTATTCCAATAGGTAGAAGCTTTGTCTGTGGAAACGGAAGAAGTGAGATACTGTGGGACTGTGTAGAAAGTATTCCAATAGGTACTTACTCAAGACTCAAAGAATCCTTCGGCGAGCCTAATGATCAAAGATAAAAACAGGTCTAAAAAACTGGAGTGCTTGGAACGTTGAGTGAGCGTTCTCAAAATAAGTTCAACGGACCGCTTGCAATTCCCTTCATCGGATTCCCGACTCGCGATGGACTCCCAGACAAGCTTGAAACCTCCGAAGACCTCGGGAATAAGCAAATTTCTTTTCTCTATCAGGTATCACCGACCTGCTGGTTCTGAAAAACTGCCACACACTCCGTTTAAAGACCCAGGTGTAATCCTCGGTCGGTACCGCAGTCTGGGTGGAGGAGACCTTTCCAGAAAACTGGGGCAAGTCGATAGTGGTGTCCATCTTCAGAGAGAGCGCTCGCACTGAATGTGGCAAACACAGAAGAACTGACATGATCCTCTTTGAACCTAGGCCATCTGAATCGTTTAGTTTACAGTCTAAAGAGAACGCGTTAGGACGTGACCTTAAAATGGCACGCAAGGTTCTAAACACGAGAGTTGTATGGACCACATCTTCACATTCGGTCAAGTTTTGGAGCAATGACACGCGAACTTGTCTCAAACTCTTGGTGTTTCTTAACTTGAAGGATGCCCTCGATTCTGTCTATTGGTTCGTTCTTCTCAAGACGATTATGCAACGGTTATGCCCCAGAAGTTCGTGAATATCACACGTCAATTTACATGTGGATGCGTAAAACTATGGGAAGCTGTTCAAAGGCTTTCCTACTAGCAGTGGTATCCGACGAGGCTGTGTATTCTCTACACTTCCGTTTAATTCGTCACTGGTGAGGAAATGAAGTGAACTCTGCAGGTCACGAGGATATCAAAACTTCCGGTATTCAGACCTCTCTGAGCGAGGACCTTATCAACATGGAATATGTAGACGATGGTTTAATTTTTGAAGGGCGAGAATTGTAAGCATTACTAGAAAAACCTATTGAATTTATCCATTCACCTTCGTTTCACACCCCAAAAAGTGCAAGGTCCTGCTGCGGGACAGCCTCTAAACATGTCTCTGAGACTTCAGGAAGAGACATTGGAAGTTGTGGACCACTGTACGGACCTCGGAAGTTGCATAAGCTGACGGGAGTCTAACATATCAGTCCAACGCACAAACCTCAAAGGCCTGAATTATGCTTGCCAACTGCATCACTTGTGGCACCAATAGGACCCTCACTGGGTCTGAAAAGACGCGTGTATTAGGTATGTTGAGCGGTTGCGATAATAAGTAACTTCGGAAGAATGATCTGAGATATCTTCAGGTTTTTAACCACCGAACTATAGGGAGATGATGAGGAAAGGGGACTTTGGAGAAGCACAAGGAATGAACTCAGCACTGCAAGCCAAATGGGCTGTGCTAAGCGGGTTGATTTACCGTCTGCTGTTTCCCGTGCCTGCTTCGAAGCGGCGAACACCTAGAAGTGGACGTGGCAAGCGAGAATGAGTTACAGAAAGTCGAGATATTGTTCACTTTCTGGGCTGGGGTCTACGTGGCACTCCCTATGCTTGGCAAGAAACACTAAGTGTGGCGGCTAAACGATCTCAGTGGTGTTCATGCTGTCAGTCTTTATCCGGACAATCCGACTGAGTGTTGGGGGTGTAGACATTTCGGATGTTTCCGGTACGATAACCTCACGTTACACTTTTTTTCTCAGACTGTATTAAGATAAATTGACAAGGTTGTTAGGCGATGGAGCACTGGTGCCTCTTCTCGTCTTGTTGTGTATGACCATGATACTCAAGTCAGGTAATATTGTCTCTGGTGTTGAGGAGTGGTTCTTTTATATAAAAAGAGGGAGGATCTGGCAGAACAACAGCAACCGTGGGAACCTTATGAACACCCCATTCGTTCATTAGATTGAAAGGCGCGTGCCATTGTTGCACTCAATGCACAAACATCAAAATTCGTGGCGTCCATCGGAGCTATCTCACACAAGGTATGATACAGATGCATTGGGCTCCAGGGAGGGACCGTGTAGCATTACCCAAGGTATCCAGCACTGTAACTGTCTAGGATTTCCTAAGAACTGACATCGCCTTGTGCTACCAAATAGGTGGACTAGAATGGTCAAAACCTGGTAAGCTTTCGATGACTCGATCAACAAGGTGCGCAAGCAACCGTACTGAATTACATGAGCACTTTGTTTTGGTTCCTGCCTGGTGTGAAAAAGACGCAAATGTTTCCGGGTGCAGATTCAAGTCACTGAACGCCAGTGTGTGGTGATAACCTATGCATAAAACCGATTGAATTACCATGAGAAACGAAAGCACGTGGCGCCAAACAGAGAATCTTCAAATCCGTATGTTGCACATACGCACGGGAATGCGCTCTAACAGTAAACTGCATAGCACACAAATTTAGCCGCTTAGGTGGGACAGAGAGCTAGCGACCAATAAACAAGGCACTAGGTGGAAGTTACTTCGCGGACTGTCATACACAATTGCGAACTGTGGATACCTAGCCTGTGATGACGCTTGGGCTTATCTGTTTAACTCAGTTTTCCTTTCGAACACTAGCTCCAACGAAAATATGGAGTTGCAGACTCCGTCCTCAACTGCACATCAAGTAAGCATTAAACTGGCAGCCACGAACGTCCCCCGATTCGGAAAATGTCAACTCAAACGCAGACTAACTGGCGTGGCTTTCTATGCGACTAACTGTATACGTTTTTGAGTGGTGCCCAATATCGAAAACTACGGGCAGTCCAGAGAGACAGAAAATGTAGCCAGCACATCACAGTTGGAACCCTCTAGGTATATCTTCACCTGACATCGTTAGACGGAATAATGCCCACGTCAACCACCTGAAGAAACGCACTAATAGTTGGCAGATGGAAGAAGCCATTCTAATGCAAGTTTAATGAGTAAGGATAATTTCGGGTTCGAGCCAACCTTCCGACCTGATTTTAACTTTCACCTTCAACTACCATCTAACAAGATTATTTTCACCGACCACGTGATTGATAGGATGGCTGTCTGAACAGCAACTTACCCTGCATTTCGTATTCCTACTCAGCGGGCGAAGAAGAGAATCCGTGATTTAGGGCTGGTCCAGCCACCCGTTAACTAACAATTTATGTTGCAAACAAAGCCCAATGGCAATTGGTGAGCTGTTCAGAGGATGGATATTGACGGGACTCGATGGTGGTATCCTCGCTAGATCGGACGATTGCGTAACTCCTGAACTTTGCTGGTAACTTAACTTCACGATTCATTTCCTACGAAGTGTCCAGTCTGCATGGAAGCAAACGCTGGTGAATACACAATTTATTACGTAGGTGGGCGTAGGTGAGTAAAAAAATTGGAAATGCGTACAAAACTACGTGGTACATTAAGTAGGAATAATAGTACTGGTAATAATATGGTAGCAATAAAGCAACAGCGCATTGTCCTGGACAACGTACGAGCAAGTCACGTACGGAAACAGGCGGACCGGTTTGCATCGGAAAAAAATAAGCCTGGCCATAACTCGAACAGAAAGATATTTTCGATTGGTTGATCAGCTTTTGAAAGTGGAACAGGCAGGAAACAGAGAAGAAAGAACACACGGCGCAAGAGTGGTTATGAAATACTCTAGTTGTTTTCACTGAGAAAGATCAGGTAGGGAAAAAAGACCCGGATGATGTATGAAGCAAAATGCAAACCGGCTCAGGTCCCGAGGAAAGACACCAGGTCTGAAATAAGAACAATTATCATCACTAGACAGAAAAATTGGAGGTAAGCAAATGGAACCGGTAGCGAATGGAGGAGCCTGGATACGAAGACCACTGATGTGTGATGACATTGTCTGTATAGCAAAACCAAGAAACATACAAATGAGACACTGGGACAGAAAAGTAGGTAGGTATCACAAACAAGCCGAACTCAAGTAGAACAGAAGGGAGAACTTCCATACATGCTTGCTAATAAATGCAGAGTGCAGAAATTCCGTGAAGCAGCATACCACGATGCCCAACAAAATCGGTTGGATACTTTGGGAACCGAAAAAAAAGTAATTTGTAGCAGCTAATCATCAGCTTGGCGTCTTCTCTAACAGGCAGGGTAGTTGTAAATGGCACGTAAAAATGCGGGGGGGGGGGGGGGGGGGGTTCGGGAGGGAGAAAAG